GGGTGAGATTTTCTGCCTCATACCTTGTTTTCAGTGGCGTGTTTTTCCTTCTCCACCTTGGCCAGTGTTAGCTCAAGGTCATCAATATCTTTCTTCAGCTCTGAACATTCATCCTCCAGTTTTCTTTTCTTGGCTGTCAGCTCAGCATTGATTTCCTCCTCATCCTCAGCCCTTTCAGTCACTTCTTTAACTTTGGCTTCCAGCTGGATTTTGGTTTTGATGAGCTGGTCACACCTTTCCTCAGCATCAGCCAGGCTGTCTGCCTCCTGTGGGGGAGACACAGATTTTCTTGATTTGTTTTCTGAACTTTTCTATGTAAGTAAGTGTGTATGTTGAAGCAACTTTAATCTTGTTGATCGTTTTGGGGTTGGTTTTGATGTTGGTTTTTTTGTTTGTTTGTGTGTTTGGTTTTGTTGGTTTCTTTGTTTGTTTCCCTGGGATGCATTATACAACTTTTGAGGTGAAACAATATTGATTTCTAACCTATTTTCTCTCTCCTAAAAGTTTCTCAGAGTTTTGGTAGGTGTGAGAATTTCTCATGTACCTAGAGGAGAGGGGGCTTGGAGACATTTTTGTTCATAAACACTGCATTAAATATCTATCCTTCGGCAACGGAATCCTTCTGAACATGTTAGGAAGTTGGGAATAAAGGGTCTGATAGTCTCAACAGTAATTGAAGAGAAATGAGAATCCTCTCTCTATAAATGTATGAATGCTATTGCTTAGGCAAGTGGGGTAAATCAGGTGTGTCCCTTTCATGCTGTATTTGGGGTGGCATGTGCTGATTTCAGCTGATCAGTTCCTTGTCTTACCCTTTGATGGGCTTTTTTTATCATGAATTTTTTTTGTCCCAAAGGAATTTGAAAGGAACATATCTTAAGATAAACAAGAAAGTCCAATGGGATATTTATTCTTCTTATACTAAGGAAAACAGGTAACATAGGGGTGCCCATTTTCTATGGAAATATTCAAATAACTGTAATTAATACAGTGTTCTATTTTTAGTTGGCAAATTAGGTTATTAAATAGGGTAGATTTAGATGACTTTGTAAAGTGATATTTAAGTATATTTTTGCTTATATTTTTAAGCAATATTCTATTTTTGTGAAGTCCTGTGTGTCTACAAGGTTCATGGAACTGTGATGGCAAAATTATTAATATTGAGATTGAGAGGTCTGGCCATGAATTTCTTTACTTAGAGAATATTTCTTTCAACTAAAAGTTAAATTGTCCATGATTGTTTCCAATTCCCCATATAGATGAAGATAAAACTGGGTGTACCATTCCTATAAGCTCCACCATGAACCAGTCTCTCCACATAGTCATGTTATTTACTGTTTGTTTCCTTAGAATTGCTGTAGTTAACAAGCTACTTAAGTAGAACATCCCTCCAAATAGTTATCTTTGTTAACATTAAGAGGGTTGGTTTTCCTCACCACTTTCTTTTTTTTCTGATACAATGTGTGAATTGGGTCTCTGCAACCAGTTGGCAGAGAAAAGGGAGCTCAGGGGGCGATATGTCTGAATGTTGGGGAACTGACACAAATATTAATGCAAAAATGGCTTTTAGTGCAAAGGAGCATTCTTTTAATAAAGATAACTTCTTAGCTAGAACTCTCTATCTTAAATATTAATAATTTTACTACCACAGGATGTTGTTTATACTGGAACTACAATACGAAATCCAGACTAGAAATGCAAAAAAGCCCTGCAATGTTCAAAACCCCCAAGAACTTCTGCTTCATTATAGATTTCATACCATTTAAGTCTAAAACATAGAGAGTGCCACTTTGAACTCCAGTTTGCATTTATACTCCAAAATTAATTCATAGTTCTCCATCCTGGTGAGATGGAGATCCTTCCTGCAGCATTCACCTGCTCAGAGGGAATTGGGGGTGCATTCTGTCCTGAGTATGTCATGTTTATGAGCTACATCTGCCTCTTTCCTCTGAAGGCAAGAGTACTGACTCCCCGTTTCTCCCTGTTTCTTTGCCCTGGCTGTCAGTGCTCATCACACCACTGCCAGACGTTTGTTTCCTCACCTTCACATACATATGACAGATAATTCCCCAAATATATGACTTTTGGTCTTCTACAGTCTGACCTTCTGTTCACAACGAACAGTCTGAATGTATATATCCATTTTCTGAGTGATAAATTATTGGTGATAAACTCACAGCTTGCACTTGGAGCTGCAGGTCATTTTTCTCCTGAAGCAAAGAAACCATTTTCTCCTCCAGCTCCTTCCGCTTTGCCTCAGACTTTGCAAGCTCTTCCTTGGTTTTCTCAAACTCTTGTTTCATGTTGGCCATCTCCTTCTCAGACTCTGCACTCTTCAGCAAGGGCTTGATCTTGAAGAACAGCTTCATCCAGGGCCAGTGTTTGACGTTCATGAATGAACGAATGTTGTACTGGATGCAGAAGATGGACTCTCTGGAGCATAATTCACATGTACAATGAGTATTTTCAGTTTGAAAAGTGTCAACACTTTCCCTCAAGCACAGTGAGTTTAACTGAAGACAGGGAATGTGTACCTTCTCTCCACCATTCTCTGGTACTCCACCCTCATCAGGAAGCCTCTGCATCTGGCCTGTGTGCGAGTGATGAGCTGTGCCAGCTTCTCATCCCTCATCTCCTCCAGGAGCCCCAGCAGCCCAGCTTTGAAGAACACCTTAGAGAGGGAATGTTGCAGCACATCGCTGTCAGGCCGGGCAAAGCACAGGCACAGAGTGAGTGAGGGAATGGGGGGGTTTGTACCTTGGTGTGTCCAAATTTGTACTGGGTGTGGTCCACATCGATTGAGCCAAGGAGCTTCTCGGAAGCCTTCTTGCTGTCGATGAACTGTCCCTCTGGGATGGCACTGGCATTAAGCACCTTGTATCTGTGAAAAGAGGAAGAGAAGGCTATTTTTTCCCAACCAACACACAGGAGCCACTAAACCCTGCCAGGTCATATATAGCTATTTTTGACAACAAACTGAATGGACCTATGAATGGACCAACAACACTTTTAATGATGCTGAGAAGTGCAGTGCTCTTACCTCTGTTTGAAGTCAGCATAGAGGACTCTGCTGGGGAACCCTTTCCTGCAAATCCTGATCCCTTCCAACACGCCGTTACAGCGCAGCTGGTGCAGCACCAGCTCGTGCTCCATGGCACCTGAGCAAGGCAGAGCAGAGCACAAAGGAGTGGCACAGATTCCAGTGTGGAGGGGAATCACAGAATCACAGAATATGCCAAATTGGAAGGAACCTTCAAGGATTATTGAGTCCAGCCCTTAGCCCTGCGCAGGCCCGTCTCCAAGAGTCACCCCCTGTGCCCCAGAGCATCAGCCAAACCCTCCTGGAGCTCTGGCAGCCTTGGGGCTATGCCCACTGCCCTGGGGAGCCTGGTCAGTGCCCAACCAGCCTCTGGGAGAAGAACCTTTTCCTGAGATCCAACCTGAGCCTGCCCTGACACAGCTCCAGCCATTCCCTGGCTGCTGTCCCTGGTCCCCCCAGAGCAGAGCTCAGGGCCTGCCCCTCCTCTGCCCCTGCCCAGGCAGTTAGAACTGCAGTGAGGTCTCCCCTCAGGCTCCTCCAGCTGAACACACCAAATGCCCTCAGTGTCCTCACACGGCTTCAAAACAAGGCCCTTCCCTATCGTCGTTGCCTCCTTTGGACACTTTCCAATGGCTTCAGATCTTCCTTCCATTGTGTCCCCCAAACTGCCCCAATGGTGCAGGTGAGGCCGCCCCAGGGCAGAGCAAAGCGGGACAATCCCCTCCCTGGCCCGGCCGGCCATGCTGGGCCTGATGCCCCCGGAGTTGCCCCACCTGGCTGCCAGGGCGCTGCTGACTCAGGGCCAACTGGCACCCACCAGGACTCCCAGGGCCCTTTCCTGGCACTGCTTTCCAGCATCTCATTCCCCAGTCTGTCCATTCACCCTAGGGTCAGAATCTGTCACTTCCCCTTCTTCCCAGCCCTCTCATCTGTCGAGGTCTCTCTGCAGGGCCTCCCTGCCTTTAAGGGACTGAACAGTTCCTCCCACTTTTGGGTCATCTGCAAATGTGCTGAGTATCCCTTCCAGTCCCGTGTCATTCATGAAGATGCTGGAGAGCACAGGGCCCAAGATGGAGCCCTCTGGAACCCCAGTAGTGACAGGTCACCAGTCTGATGTCACCCCAGTCCCTGTCACCCTCTGTGCTTGACCCATGAGCCAGTTGCTCCTCAACCACACGATGTGTTTATCCAGCTGTGGGCTGGACAGTTTGTCCAGAAGGAATGGATGTATCAGAGCAAACTCTCTTCCTACTTGAGCCATCTTACCAGGTGTTTTAGTCTCATTTGGAATGATGCAGCGCACAAAATGGGGGTGAGTGCTCCGTAGATTGGTCATCAGCTTGTTTAAGTTCTCCTAGAGGAAGCAGGTAGCAATGTGAGTTTGCTATGTCCAATGTTTGAGGCATCAAGCCCAGGTAATGGCTTCACAATGTCTCAAGCTGGGTTTCAGAACACTTAGATAAAGCCAGAGAAACCAAATATTTCTTCTATTTGAAGATACTGAACACCATTTTTAAAGACTGAAATACTTTTGTGTTGCTATTGGGCCAGTGAAAATAAATATAAATTTCACACATTCACAAAGAGTAATTGACTTCTAGATTTCTCACATTCTGCCTTCAAAAGTTAGGCTATTTAGTTTTTAAAAATGGGGGTTTATTCCAATAAGATAAATATCCGCTTGGAAATTACTTTCAATTCCTCAGCAGAAATGCAGGAATACTCATATTATGGTCATAGTCTGACCCAAAGACATAAAAATACAAAGATCTCAATGAGAGATGCTCAAAAAAAAAAAAAAGGGAAATACATGCAGATTATTAGATTTTCATGATTTTGAAGACTGAATGCTTATTTTTGGACATGACAAATTAGCAATATTAAAATTGATCCTGGAAAACCTGATGTGGAATTTCTAAAGACATTTAGCACTATTATAGTAATGTAAAATAGTCCTTTCAAATTTAATATTAGCTCACCCCCTTCCTTCCCATTTCAGAGGTAACAGGTGCAGTACTGTACCCGGAAAAGAGCTGAGACAGTCTGGAAAGAAGAACCCTTTTTCTTGCCACCCTTCTTTCCACCACCAGCCTCTGCAAATTAAAGGGAAAAAAATTAAATTGAACACAAACCAATTTTAAATGTTTAGTATTTATGGCTTCAATTCTGTGTCAACATTGTCCCATGCTGAAAATACGATTTTCACTGAACTGACCTGCATCTGCTCCACCATAGTTGGCAAAGAGTAAGGCCAGGGTCTTGACAGATGATTTCTGGTACAGCCCAATGACAGTTTCATTCAGGGGGTCCTTGTTCTTCTCCAGCCACCCAGTGATGTTGTAGTCCACTGTGCCAGCATAGTGCACCAGGGAGAAGTGGGCCTCAGCCTTGCCTTTGGCAGGCTTGGGCTTCTGGAAGTTGCTGGACTTGCCCAGGTGCTGGTCATAGAGCTTGTTCTTGAAAGAGGTGTCAGTTGCCTTGGGGAACATGCACTCCTCTTCCAGGATGGAGAAGATGCCCATGGGCTGGGAGAGATTATAATAGGTACGAGGGAGAAACAGATTTTGGTTGGAAAGTTGCTAGAGCCAGAAAAGAAAGCTGTTCCCACACATTTCATGACAATAAGTCAGAGAAAATTAACCAAGGTTCAACTTTTTTCAGTGTTTCTGTTTCATTTGAAGTGATGGAAATACTGTCCTCTCCATAAAACCTACTTACTGATAGGTGCCTATAGAACATGACTGCCTTTTATATTACTTCTTTTTGTAATCTAGCAGTGAATTCTCTCATCAAAAGTCCTGATATCTGAGTATGATCTCCAAAAACACTTCCACCCTGTTGCCACAGGGTATGTACTTGAAGAAGCCAAAATATTCTCATGTGCTTCTTAATTGCATCTGTTGGCAAATATAGAAGATCTAACTTATTCAACACAAAGCACACCTTCTCAATGAGCTCAATGCAGGCAGCCAGGTCCATCCCAAAGTCGATGAATGTCCATTCAATTCCTTCCTTCTTGTACTCCTCCTGCTCCAGCACGAACATGTGGTGGTTGAAGAACTGCTGCAGTTTCTCATTGGTGAAGTTGATGCACAACTGCTCAAAGCTGTTGAACTGCCAGATATAAAAAGACATACAATGCTTTCAAGGATCAGCAATAATAGCAAGGTGTTTTCTTGTACAATCCTAATTCACCAGGGTTGATACTATAAATACAAGTCATCTTCCTGTGTAGTTTTCCTGTGGTATATTTCTAGGATAGGCTTAGTATTTAAAAAAGAGAGGTTTCAAATTCAGAGCAATTGAAAGATTAGTTTTCAATTTTTTTTTTTTTCAGGATTAAAAATGGTGATTCCAACAAGCCCTACAAATAAATGTAGGAACATACTCCCTTCTATTAAACGTCTCAAAAGTTTCAATTGTTTTTCCATGGAAATGCTAAAAAACTGTGTTCTTTACATCAAAGATCTCGAAGCCAGCAATGTCCAGCACACCAATGAAGTACTGCCTGGGCTGCTTCGTGTCCAGCTGTTGGTTGATGCGAACAACCATCCACAGGAACATCTTCTCATAGACAGCCTTTGCCAGGGCACCCACTGAATTGTTCACCTAAAGCACAGAGAAAGGTTTGGAGGTTACTACACACAGCAGAGGAGAAACAACACCAACCATCAAAGCATTTTCCAGATTATCCTATTTTTTCTACCTGCTGCACTGTTTGGCCCTTGGTCACATATTCATTCCCCACCTTAACTCGGGGGTAGCAGAGGGCCTTGAGCAGGTCTGCTGAGTTCAGACCCATCAGGTAGGCAGCCTTGTCAGCAACTGAACACCAGAAAAGAGAAAACAGTAAATATTCAACAATTCCAAAAATTTGGTCCTTGATGGACTGTTCCAAAAGTGCACAACAATATCTGTCAAAGCCACAAAGCTGATTTCTCTCCTGTCTGCAGGATTTAGAGTCTGCAACTCTTTCTGAGCTTAATTTTCTACAGTTGTTCTTCAAGAGAGCTCATTGCTTTTATCCTTTTTCAGGTGTAACTATGGGTCTTCATGTGTACTTTCTAGTTGTATAGCAAGAGGATTCATCACTCAGAGAGATGGAGGCATGAACAGTCCTTCCTGCTGTGACAGAGACTAATCAAGTACACATCTCACATCAGAGTTCACTCCAATAGGTGAGAGTGAAGAGGAGCAGTTTCCCTTCCTGGTAGGGTTGAACCATTTCACTACTCCACACTACAGCAGAGATTGCAAGATGTATTTCAACTTAAGTATGACTAACAGTGGTATAGGAATTGACATCCATGGCTCCAGTTTCCTGGCAGGGTACGCCAGATCTCTTACTTATGAAGTAGTCACAGATAAAAAGTACAAGTACCATTAGATGAGATACGTCTCAACTGTCATCTAGTCATGGAACAACTACTCTTCTTTTTAGTTTACACATTTGCATATTTAAAGCCTGAAATCTACCTAAGTCCTTCTTGTGACAAAGAATATCTCTTTTGGAAAGTTTGCTGACTCTGCTGATACCTTCTGTGCCATCAGGCTCTGCCTGCTCCTCACGCTGCTTCTGCTTGAACTTCAGGTTCCCGTAGTGTATGACAGCCCCTGTCAGCTTGTAGATGGCTGTTTTCTCATCAGCAGAGAAACCCAGGATGTCAATGGCACTCTAGCAACAGAAAAATAAATGTACATGTACCAGGGCACCAATCCACCGCATGACCTGTTTGATAAAGTTACTCACATCTGTTGCCATCAGCTCCTCCTGGTCATCGATGCTGGGAACAGTGATCTCACCTTGACTCACAAAGTGGAAATCGTAAGGGTTGGTGGTGATGAGGAGCATGTCTGAAAGAAATAAAGGGGAAAAAGAAGATTACTATAGCTTTCCAGATGACACAATGAACTGTTTCTCAGTAATCTTCCTTCAAAAAAAGTTAGTGATCTTCCTACCAATTAGCTCTGGCTTTTTGTTGGACATGATCTGATAAAAGATGTGGTAGCTTCTTTCCGCCTTGAGCTGGAAAGTGACTCTGGACTTCTCCAGCAGATCTGTCAAGGATGGCAGGACAGAGTTAAGCAGAAGAACTGGGCAGGAGCAGGGGCTTAGAAAAAATGGGACCAGTCCAGGAGAATCTCTTACAAGTTTCAATGTCAGCAGAAGCCAGTTTGCCTGTGGCCCCAAAGTGGATTCTGATGAATTTGCCCTGTTAAGGAGAAGCAGCAGCATTTCCGCTCAGGTACATTTCATTGCCATGTCCTCATGTGAGAATACCACTATCCCATCACTCTTGTTATAACAAGAAGGGATTTTTGTGTGAGCTCAAAACAACTCATCAACTCACAAAGCGCGAGGAGTTGTCGTTCCTCACGGTCTTGGCGTTTCCAAAGGCCTCCAGCAGTGGGTTGGCGCTGATGATTTGATCCTCAAGCGTTCCCTGCAGAGGGAAAATTACTCATGGACTGTGTTGAGTTGACAGGGCAATGACAGCCCAAGTGTCCAGTCTGTTCTTCCTGACTCACCTGCATTTTGCCTGATGTCTGCTCCTCCTTCTTCTTCTCCCCGCTGGCTGCAATTGTTGCAAAGTACTGGATGACACGCCTTGTGTTCACAGTCTTCCCGGCACTGGATTCTCCGCTGTCAGAGCAAGGA